CATACAGGGATCGGACCTGTGACCTTGGCGTTATTAGCACCACGCTCTAACCAACTGAGCTAATAGAGCTTGATGTTTGAAGTGGCAAGTCTGTGAGTAGTTTGATGAAAACAAAAAAGTTGATAAGAAAAAAAAACCTGAAAAGGAAACATCACAAACTTTGCTAACACTTTGAGCTCGCTTGAGCGGGCGAAAGCCCATCATCGAGTATGTATGTGGACATCTATGGTTTAGCGCATCCAAAGCGCTGCTAGGTGGGCTTGAACCACCAACCTCTCGGTTATCTGTACGCAACTGTTGCGATTAACAGCCGAACGCGCTAGCCAATTGCGCCATAGCAGTTTGATGACAACGATGGAAATCTGGTCATACAAGTTCCAAAAGCAGGCATTTTGCGATATGGATTTTTCGACGTCCGTTTTTAACGGTGTGGTTTTTCTTTCCCCAATTGTGGCTTACCTGAAACGAAGTATTATATGATCAGATATCAATATTTTCTTCGACTTTCCTGACTCCATTCACCAGTCGTTCTGGCCATACATCGAAGAAACGTAGAAGCGACGTCTTTCTTTAGTATCCACGGATCAGAAGACGAATTTTTAAAGGCTATATGCACACCCATTTTTCTTAGTCCAATAATTTACGAGTTTCAATTAATAGGTGAATTCTATTTGTTTTTGTATGTATTTCTCCCCGATTCGACCAAGTTAAAATTGCCGGGTTTTTTTTAATAGTATTAATCTGCTCTCGGCTCTTCACGATTTTTCTTAAACAAACCAAAACAAAAAGAAAAAACAAAACAAACCGAAACAGAACTAAGAGTAACATGCAAAGAGGAATGTTTTGAAAAATAAGGTGTGTTTGGTTGCTTGATATATATCAGAGATTGGTGCTGATGGGGCAGGCCGCAGAGGCCAGAGGCGAAAATTGTGGTTGTTTTGTAGGGTACACTCTAGATGTTTAGTATTGATTGAATTTGTAACCAATTCCAAGCTTGTTTCATCCCCCAACATTAGAATCACGGTGAGCCAACTTGAGTAAAAACGATATGGCTAACCAACAGCACGTAGCCACAAAAAAATTACAAAAGAACTTGAATACAAGGATGGAGCATTTTTTTGTTTTTCAGAAAGTAGTCTAATAGGATTTTTGTTATTTTTTTGTCTGATATAACCATAAAACAAAAAGGATAAGAAAGGGGTGAAAGCAACATCAACAGTATAGCAAAGCATAGAGCAACGGCAAAAAAATAAGCGCAAGAAAGAAACCAAAAAGAAAGATACAGAAAGAAAAAAGGTCGAAAATATAACAACAAAAACGGAATTCGTTTCGCAAAACTATAACAGCCGAACGAAACAAAATAGAAGGAAAAAAGAACAAAAAGATTCTATCAAATCATAATAAAACGAACGCTTTTCGCCATAACTCCCAATCACGCACCCAAAAATAAATCATACCCCAATCAGAAACCAAAACGAGCTGTCAAAACAAACAGGACAGAAAAAAAAAACTCCGCCCAATTTAAATCACAGCACCAATCACAGTTCAAAAGAAACGAGAATCGGACGCCTTCTACACCGTCCCCTTAACGAACCTCCAACACACGAAAATCCACCCACCCCACACATCATCAAGTCCATTAGATCCCATCCTTTACAACATTTACAAAGACAAGAATCCAGCAACAACACCAACAATAGCTCCAACAACAGTACTCTTAAACGCCAACCCAACAGCACCATTTCCAGTAGGTTTAGCAGTAGGAGCAACAGTAGCCCCAGTCGTAGTCTTTCCACTACCATTACCATTTCCATTGTTACCAGTAGCAGCCGCACTAGTCGAAGAAGCAATTTGAGAGTTGATTTTAATTTGATCTTGGATGACGGGAGCGATCAAGTTTGTGGCAGCGGTGATGTCGTTTGCTTTACAGGCTTGTGCGAGTTCGGTGAAGAGTTTTGTGGCGGGGGTTGATGAGTCTGTTGAGGAGGCGGTGATGCAGGAGCCACAGTCGGTGCCGGGGGTGACGATCATAAGTGGGCACATGCAGGTTGCGAGTTTGTTGGCGGTTGTTTGGTCCTGTATTTGTTTGTTATTTAATGTAACAGGATGATGTGGTTAGTTAGTTGGGTGTGTTTCCATGATGGATGATATGTGGGGGGGGGGGGGGATCTACATCGTTGGGTCTGATATTGATGGCCTAGCTAAAATCAAAAAAATTTTTGATTTGGCGCTTGTGTTCCTTGTTTGCTGTGTCTCGTCCCTCCTTTCTTGCCTTGCTGCTGCCGCCATATTCCGTCAAACCCCAAACAAATCCTTAAAAAACCTCCTCGTACTATCCTCAACGATCACAGCAAGCATCCACACAGTCCTACATTCCCAGATCCCATCCATTCATCACAGCGTCATCAGATCCAGATCCACATCCATGTCCATGAACATTCAGAGATTCCTTATCCGTATACCTCCAATGAATGCCTTTGATCATGGAATACAAACGACAGATCCAACTCATTTGGCCTTGATCTACCCCCAAACACACAATCCACAAACAATCCACAAACACATCCCCACACTCCCATCGTATGCATTAAAGAAAACGATCTAACAATTCATCGGAAGATCAATGAATAACTTACAGGGTTGTTCATGGCACAATTTTGAGACAAGGTTTTACCGAAATCAGCGCATGCTGAACAGTCTGCAGGGTAACCGATGGCTGCAAAGGCTGATGAAGCAGAGAAGGCAAGGACAACAACGAGGGATTTGATGATGGCGGACATTGTTGCAATGTTGATTGTATTAACACTGGATTTGGTGTTGATTGATGGGGAGGAAGAAAAGTTGAGAATGAGTTTATTTTTCCACAGAATTTCAATGCTTTGAATAGAATTCGGTCCCCGAATAATACACACACATTCCACACATTCCACACAAATACATAAACAAAGTTTGCGGTGTTTTTGTCAAAAGTTTGACAGGCTTCTTTAATGTTCTATTCCTGATTAAACCTACCCTGTGTATATGTTCTATAAGTTCTATAAAGATAGGTGATGACCGGTGATTGGCACGACAGCAGTTGTTGGGTGTGTAGGATGAGGAAGAAAAATTTATGGAAAGGAGAATGGAAGGATCCTGATTGGATTGGAGGCGGTCCATTTCTCTGTCGCCGCCCCTGTTTCTCGGTCGGGGCCGAGACAGAGGCCAGAGACAGACCCCCCAGATGGGGTTCCTGCGGCGGCGCCCAACCACAAAATTTAGAAAATATTTTATTTTATTATTTGCCTGCAGAACACACAGACAGACAGGGAAACAAAACCAAAAAACCCTCGGGCGGGGCTGTCTGTCCCGTGGCTCTTGCCCCTCATAATATGAGTCAAGGTAGATATGGATTGTACAGGGCAAGTCTGCCCAGATCTGGTGTTATGCATTAATTGAGACAAAACACTTCAGTGGCGTGAGAAACAGGAGGGAGGGGCCCAAGTTAAGACATGAACCGTGGGAACCGAGAAAGCTGCTTTGTCTTTGCCACGCCCTCAGTTAAAAAAATTTTCCCTTTTTTTTTTTTTTTTTTTTTTTCCTTTCGTCGGGAACCATTTACGGTAGACCCGTCTGGTCGCTGTGAATCCCCCCCTTTATCACACTTAGACTCTCAAAGACTTCGGGATATTTACTCGGTACACCAAAGGTGAATACACAGAGACGAATAATGTTTCTTTCTTTCATTTTTAACGCACCACGAACACAAACCGCCCATCCTTTTAAATAACAACAACACCCCGACTCTTCTTCACTTCGTTGTCTTTCTCCCTTTGCATTTGTGTGTGTCGGAAATGATGTTTTATATTCATGCGTGTCAGCTGAGAAATGTCCCATCAGTTTTTGATGGGAACTCTTGTTTCTATGCTTAAAATGGCCCTGGGCCAATCTTACAACTGATCAAAAACCCAAAACTACCTACTCTTCTTTTGGTCTTGTTTTATCATTCGGACATTTTCTTTTTGGAATTTGAAAGGTCCATAGAAAAACGTAATACTAATCGTAACGTTTTATCAACACCACAGATCGTTAACCGCGGTCGGAGATTTTGTTATGTTTGTTTTGTAAATGGACGATTTTTTTTGTTTGGTCAAGGTATGTATATGTTATCGAAAAGGGAATCGGTAGATGAGGTGGACAGTACATGATCAATGTTTTTGAAAAATAAATACCCATTTATCTTCTCGTAATCATCATCTGTGCATCAATTTGTTGTCGATTTTTTTCATTAGAACATAAGCATCATCTTCATTTGTTGCTCAGTATCAAACTTCTATTGCATTTTCGGATTTACATTCAATGTCCAAACTTTTTCTCAAAAATGGCCTTTGTTTCCTTGTAAACACCGTCAACAGTATTGATACACGAAACCTGAACAATAAAACAAAAAACAACAAAAAAAAACAAAAACCGTAACGGGGTGTGAATAAAGAACGCAAAAAAGAGAAAAAGGTATCAATACAAGACAGAAGAAAGTAAAGGCACACTCATACCTTTGCAACTTTGCCACGCTTTTCATAAGCTTCTACAACAGGATAACTAGTGTCCTTGAAAACTTGGAATCGTTTCTTGATGGATTCAATGTTATCATCTACTCTCCCGCTTGTCTCGCCTTTTTAGTATAAACCATATTAGTAAACTGTGAGCAAAATTACGAAAGAATCCAATACCTCGTTTCAACAATCGTCTCAACATTTCCTCTTCAGGACATTCATAGAACAATACAAGTTTACTTTCACAGACCTATTGCAAGTTCAAATATTGATCAAAACAGAGAAAAGGAATAAAACGACGTGTGAGAAAACAAAAAAAAAACCAAAACAAACCAAAACAAAACAAAAAAATCCATATATCTCCTCCCTGCACATTCAACATACCTCCTCCTCAAACTTCTCGGCCTGATCCATCTGTCTAGGAAACCCATCAATCAAAAACCGTTTCCCACCACTCTTTTTCATAGCAGCATGTAACAACGATATAGTAATCTCCATAGG